GACCAACTCATTTAAAAGAGGGTGTAAGTAAAATGTAATCCAAAAGAGTATGAAACCAACGTTACTAATCGTAATTTCTGCAAAATATTCAAGATTTGTGTACTATGTAGTTGATAAGGCATTGAATAGAAGCGTACCCCCCACAGGACTAACATGCAACTTCTTTTACTGTGTAAAGCTATGAAAATTGAATCACTGATTGTAAATAGAAATAAGAGTTTGTCTGAGTTATTTTTTAAAATAAATAACTTGACTAAGATAAATTAATAAAATTAATATATCATATTTAAATTATTTTAACATTTTATAAAAACTAAAAATATCGTCAAGCACGTAAATTAACTGATAAAAATTGTTTTACTTTAATTATAATTTTAGATTCGAATTTTATGAGTGTGCCGTCCATATAACCCATGTGAACATAGATGAGCCACCATTGAAGGTGGAGAAAATAAAAGCTAGCTATCTTTTTCCTTACATTTTCAAAAAGAAAAATAATTATTGCAAGAATTAGTCCACTCATAGTTATAATATTTTAGTTGAAATCGACTATTTCGTTAACGGATCCTTTCTTTTAAATGATAGACATCCTTTAACAAATGCATCATGTTTGTGAGGTGGAGACTGCTTTCACTTAATTAGGCTCGTTTGTCAATCACAAAAATGAGCTAGTCTTAGCAATTCCTCTTTGAATCAGCTACTCATGATGATCGAAAATTTCGGAAAGAGAACATGTTTTGCATGAATACGACGTTAAATTGATTGTTGAAACAGTGAGAGATATCAAAATTCAATCATTTAGTCGGTGGATGGAGCATATTAAAGAATCTTGAGTTATCCACTTTTTGTTTCTTGTCGGTGAATGAAGGAAAATATATGTGTGATTATTATAATTGATCCTTCCCCTTAAGTTTAGGCTAAAAGTTGAATGAATACCCACAAGAAAATTGACTACACTGTACATCATCCCTTGCATCATCATCATCTGTAAATATCACAAGTGTTATTATTTTTTATTTATGATCTTTTAATTTCATATTAATTAACTTAATGTAAACAACATTTTTATTTTCTATGAAAAATAAGCAATTACAACAGGCAGCATACAACATATATAATCTTGAATGGAATCAAATACCCGATCTCGATTAAACTATTTTACCATCATTATTCATCTGTTCATCATTTACTACAGTTATAAACTTTATACTATTCATCAATCATCTAAACATTATTAATACATTGTCAACTTTATTAAATGCGTCCTGTATATAGTACAATTGATGAGCTATCTAAAAAATCATAATGATAGGTACATGACAAAATTTCATTGATTTGAGCATTAGAGTGTTACCTTTGTCTTTTCATTAAACATAAGCACGGGACTTTTGCATCTGAAAGAAAAACACTACCTAATCTTTCTCAACCGACCACTTGAGTGTGTTATACTCTTATATTATCAATAGTTTTTTTTATCAATTTGACTATTAAATTCTAATTATATATTACTTTAATTATCTTTATTAAATTTTATAAAAATTTAAAAATTATAATAAATAGATTATAATTATATATTACCTTAATTAATTCTGTTAAATTTTATAAGAAAAAAAACAATTACAACAATAGAATCAAAATATTTAACATAACTGCATTTAGTGAGACTCAAATTCAAAACTATATATTAAATTACAATAATATTTTACTAAATATTTTACATACTCATTGACATTAATATAATTAAAAAAATTTAATCTACTAGTTAATTTTAAAATTAAATTATTAAATGATGTGAAAATTTATAACTTAATTAATTTACAATTTTGACTAGACAATAAAGGAAAAACTCTATATGCCTTTGGCATTTGTATTATTAGTGCTAAAATTCCAAATATTTTATGTATGCATCGCTTTATGGGAACACCATGATAAGACATCACTTTCAATATTAGCCACACACACATATATATATATATATATATATATATATATATATATATATATTATTTTATTTTGTTGTTGTTGTTGGAAGTCCAATAACATTGTAAAGGAAGCTTATTGTATTGTTTATAGATAATTATAACGAAGGACACATGAAAAGTCCAACCCAATAAACAATTTTTTCATTGCTTGGGTTTAGCATTCATAGATTAGTTTTGCACCAAATAGTGCTTTGCTACATAGCCCGATTAGAATCATAAGACGTTGCCCAACTACACCCATTAGCAGAAAATTCTGTATGATATATAAAAAATATATCATACATAACTAAATTTTGTACCGTAGGATATATATATTTACAAAATATATAACATTTCATCATATATAATTTATAATATATTTATTACATAATTTCTTTTTAATGTTAAGTATATAAGGAAAAACTATTATTACTTACTTGAAAAATTAAACTATTGATTTGATACATAAATAAATTTATAATTAATTAAAAAATTAAATAAAAAACTATCTCGTAATATACTAAACAAGACATTATTTAAAATGATATGTATTTATGACATGTAAATATATTTAATGTAAGATATAAAAAATAAAATAGTCAAATTTTGTTAAACATTGCGATTTAATTAGGACATGTAAGGATAATTTTATATCTAAATAAAAAAAATCCTAAATGAATATTTTATTTCTTATTGTATTTTCTGAAAAAAATAAAAAGTATAAAAATTAAAAAATGTTAAAAGTTTAAAAATGGAAGTTAAGAAACATATAGATGGCATAAATGGAAATAAATATTACAATAAAATAAAAATTAAAAGATAAAATTAATGAGAAAATATCATGTGAGAATTGAAGTACAAGGATTTTGGTATATATTATATAGATTTTAGTATGTAAATTTTATTCTTTTGTTCGTAGATTTTGATTTTATTATTTGATAATAATTGGCATGTTTTAAAAATGTATCATTTATGTTTTAAATTTTTTTAGACCATCGTCTATAAATTTTTTATATATTTTTTAAATTCTGAAACGGTAAAAAAAGTTAAATTTAATTGTAAATGAAAAAAGGTAATTAAAAACAATGGTTACCTAAGGACTAATCTTAAAAAAAAGGGCTTATTGTATTTTTAGTCTATACTTTTTTTTTTACTTATCTATGAATTTGATTTATATAGTTCAACTGTTCAGGTATGATATGATTCTTTTAAATCTTAAAATTTATTTTAAAACTAAAGTTTAAAATTACTTTTAAGTTAAAATTCCATAAATAGTATTGTTGGATTTTGAGATTTAAAATAAAGAAAAGTAAAAAAAAAATCAATTTTTTTGTCATTGAATTTTTAAAAAACTATTTAGCCCAATTTATCCTTTTAAGGAGAAAAAGGGCAAAATAGGTTTCATCTTCACAATTTATTTAATTTGTACAATTAAATTTCTTATCCTATATTTTATCTCACGACTGATGATAGTGTACTGGGGATGTAACGTAAAATGAATTTATATGCAACAATAAAGAAAAATGTTAAGATATTTAAATAAAAATAAAAACGATTAAAATAGATTTTTGTTTTTATAGTTTTATTAAAATCCTTTATATATATATATTAATTAAATAATTACATGTTATATTATTTATAATAAGTTATTAATTTTAATATTTACAAGATCAACACAAAATAATTAAAAATATGAAAATTTAAATAATAAAAAAAATTAAAGATACGAATGGAATGAGGTGGGTATCACCTACCAACATACGTAACGGTACGTAGGATTCACAGAACGTAACGCCGTGAAATAATGTTTGTAGGTTCGGATCATGGTGATGCTGAGGCACAGAAGAAGAACACAGAACAAGAACAGTACCAACCTATTTATTTTAAGTTTTACTCCTGATTCATTTATAAGCTTATAATATTTTTTTGTATTATTATATATTAAATCTGTTAATTCTTTATGTGAAAGGTTATTATTTTATGTGTTTAGATTGATATATTTATTTTTTATAATGTATTTTTAGAAAAATTTTGTCTTATCCCATAATAAACTGAAACCAACTTGTCATGATGCAAAGATAATAATAATAGACAATCTTGTTAGTTCTTAAATACATGATAGAGATTTGAAGTTGAAATTTGTGTAAATACACAATCAATGATTTGCAACCAATCGTTAATGTTTTATGATTTTATTAGCAAATTTTCAACTGTAACTAATATATATATATATATATATATATATATATATATCTTAACATTATATAATAATATATTAAACAATTAAATAATATTTTAAAAAATAAAATTAGACAAAGTTTCAAATATACATAAAAAGACTACTGTACACATTTTATAAAATATAATGAATAATTCAATATAACAATTTAAATCTCACATATAAACTTCAACTTATTTAAAAATGTTTCTGAATAAAAAATATAAATACAAAAAACATTTTTTTCAAATTCCGTTTTAAACTGAGTTTTTATCGTTAATTTTTAGTCTATTTTGAGTAGTTCTTACCTTCAATATAGGAAGGTATTCAAAGTGATCGATCACCTGTCTCTTCCTCGTCTAACTGATCAAACAACTATCTCGTTGGATCCGATTTTAACAACGTTGCTACATACAAAGCCATATTATGTAATTATTAAGGTTTTAATAACTTATTTTATATAATATTAATTAAAACTAAATAAATAGAACTTTTTTTAAAATTATCTTAAATGTACTAAAATTATATAAATAAAATATTTTTAAGTCCTTTTAATTTTCTATTTGTTAATCAATATGTTTTAGACATTATTTAACATTTCTAATTTTTTTAAAAGTTAATTTTTGTATCGTTAAGGTGAGATATTTCTAAAATATGTAATAAATATAAAAAATATCATAGTATATGACTCTAATTTTTAATATCTAAATAACATAATCATTTTAATATAATGCTGTTTTAGGCAGTACAAAAATACTTGTACAATATTCTCTCCGAAAAAAAAAGAGATATAAATAGAATAACAGTGTCAAAACGGCGTCACTCTGTGCGCGCATTAGGAGTTGTTGGCATTGCTGTGAGCTCACTCTTTTCGCTCTTTCTCCGCAGTCACAACTCAAAGCGAGGGAGAGAGAGTGAAGTGATCGCTTCGCTGTTCTAATCGCCGTTTCATTGCCGGAAAATCTGAGATCTCTCAATCTCCGACGACCTTTGTAACTCTCTTTTTTCTTCAGTGAGTGTTAGGTTAGGGTTTATATATATGGCTTCGGAGGATGTGAAGACCGGGGAATCCGCGGTAACGAAGATCGTTAATCTGGCTGAGGAAGCGAAGCTCGCTAGAGAAGGTGTTGTCAAGGCTCCAAATTACGCCCTCGCTAGCATCTGCAAAAGCCTTGTCGCCGGTGGAGTCGCTGGAGGAGTGTCAGTTCCGTTTCTCATTTCCTAATTAATTTTTTAATTAAATTTTATTTATGAATATGTCGATGAAATTTATGTATAAATTGTTGATTGTATGTATTTGTGGTTTGATTTTGATGGATAATGTAGTGTTGGATTTTCATTGTCAGGGGACAGTGGGGATTGATGTTTATGGCTTTTGTGATATCATTTCTTTGGGTTTAATTTCGTTGAATGATTAATACTTATTAATCTGGCTTTTGTATTTGGTGAAGTAGAATGAGTATACTATGCGTTAAATATAGGCGTTGTTGTTCATTTTGGAAGTTGCTAGTTCTTTTACTTTTACTTGGTCTGGGTTACTTGTGAGGAACCAATCAGAAAATTGGGGGATTTGAAACAAGATTCTGTGTGCTTTTTTTTTTTTTTTTTGTATGTCATATATCATGAAAGTCACTAAAAATCTTCATTCCCTTAATATCTTGATGGTACATTGCCTTGCTAATGTTACATTTCCTGCCAATTAAAGAATGCATGCTAACTTTGAATTTCATTTTCATTTCAGTAAATTGAGCTGTAATTACAATTACAATAATCCATAATCCAAATTTATTGGAAACTCGTTCTTGCTGAAAATTCCAAGATTTTTTTTGGTGTTGTGCCGAGTTTTAATTTTTAACCAAGTTTTTGTTGTGTCTATGCAGATCACGTACTGCAGTTGCTCCACTGGAACGCTTAAAAATTTTGCTACAGGTTAGTTGATTTGGTTGTTTAGATCTACATGGATTAGCTATTATTTATCCTTGCTACTGTGACTATATCTGAGCATGTTTGTTCAGATATATCCTATTTCTACGTATGATGATGTGTATCTGGGTGTTGCTATTTGCAGGTCCAGAATCCTCATAACATTAAATACAACGGAACAATACAAGGCCTAAAATATATATGGAGAACTGAAGGTTTCCGTGGACTATTCAAAGGGAATGGTACTAATTGTGCTCGAATTGTCCCTAATTCTGCTGTGAAGTTCTTCAGCTATGAGCAAGCTTCTAAGTAAGTTTTCTTTAGATACAACATAATGTGCTGATTGCTTTTTGTTTAGCATTCTTTTTGTTGGTTTTCATTCAGGTGCCCAATTATAGCGAATACCAATCAACTTACCGTGAAGGAAAATTGGCTTCTGCAACCTCTTCGGACGTTTTCCTTTTCCTGCATCATTTTATTTAAATAGGGTCACCACAGTGGCTAACATTTTAAAATTATTTCATCGCATCTCACTTCATATATTTTAAACTTTCTTTCCTGTTTTTTCTGACCATTCCTTCCTATTCTGACAGGGGTATACTGTATATGTACCAGCAGCAAACTGGAAATGGTATGCTCATGTTTTCCATTTCAACTAAAGATTATTTGTGTTTAGATTGGCTAGTGTCTTATGACGTGAAGCAAGGGCAAGTATTAATTTGATTGAGAGTTGATGAAGTGGACTAGGAAGCTTCCTTGGCAACTCTTTTTGTTTTATTATTCTTGTACTTCTATTCATATATCATAGTAGTTAATCTGGATAGCGGCGCGAAGCGGCCAACCTCAAAAATGCTATAGCGTGGATAGTGGTAGTGGGCTGACTGCTATTCTAAAGTTTTAATACACATACATCCTAAAAAATATAAAATTAATAAACAAAGTTGGAACAAAACAAAAAAGGAAAAATCAGATCAGAGAAGCAAATAAATAACAAATAGCAAATGGTGCAGGAGCAGCTATTGTTTCTACTTGAAGCTTTGAAATTTGAAACAGAGCAAAGTAGGAGAATCAAAATAGAAGAGAAAAATAGAAAAAAAAAAGTTCAGTTACCGGAAAATGTGCAACTTTGCTGGAAAGATGATTGGAAAGCATCTCTGTTGCATCAAAAGTTTTGCCGAAGATGAAGGCCATCAGAAGCAGTAGAAACGTAGAGAACAAAGTTGAAATGAGAGGAGAAATGAGAGGGAGAGATGAGAGATGAAATGAGAAGCTAGGGATTGCAAAAGAGGGAGGGAGAAGATCAGAAAATAAGGGGGGCAAAATCCCAAGATTGCCCCCCTTATAAGTTGCCCAATGTTAAAAAACAGAGGGCAAATTTGAAATTTCAGATATGATAAATAGCTGCGACAACCGAGATTTCTGCCATTTTTGGCCGCTATTTGTGGCATAACAGCTGTTCCTCTGAAACGCGATGCAATTGCGTCTGCGACACAATTGGGTCTCCATAGTGGCGCCATGCCACTCCGCTCCCCTCTTCCGGGATAGCTGCTGCTAGTGCTGCTTTTGACTACTATATCATATATTATATGTTTTCTCCTTTATTATAATGACTGCCTGACTGGTAACTTATGTAATTAAGAGTTAAGGGTTTCTCTCCTTATAAATATCATCCTAGTGATGAGAATGCTTGGCCAGTCAGTCAACATGTGATTATGATTATGAAACAATATAGGTTTTGAAGCTCTTAATTTATGGCAATTGCTACAGCTATGTGGAGAAAGGGCCTGTTTGTATACTTAAATTCTGTGCTGAAAAATGAATATTTTTGACCCAAAAATGATTTAGTGATGTCACTTCAACACATTTTCAGTAATCTTTTCCTTTTCTAAATTAGTAAGTTACATTAGTGTACTCTAGGATAACCTCATTAATTCTGGTAAATGCCAATAGTCTTATTTTTGAAACAAACTTCATCATCCATTTTAAATTGACAAAAGTTTGTTAGTATAGAAACCCTTCTGACTGGCTAAGTATTTTCTCAATTTTTTGCAGAGGATGCTCAGCTGACTCCTCTTTTACGTCTTGGAGCTGGAGCATGTGCTGGAATAATTGCTATGTCTGCCACTTATCCAATGGATATGGTTCGAGGCAGGATTACTGTACAGGTATTTTTTCTTTCATTTTTATTTTTTCCAAATGTTTGCTTTGCTCGTTGTGAGTTAGAATGGTAGCTGAAAATGCATAAAGATAATACATCCTCTTACAGCTGTAACATTAATTGGAGAAAAAAAATGTCATCCATGATCTTTGTTGTGTCAATTGTTGACAAATGTATTTTTGCCTTGTATTTGCAGACTGACAAATCGCCTTATCAGTACAGAGGAATGTTCCATGCTCTGTCTACTGTGCTTAGGGAAGAAGGTCCTCGTGCTTTATATAAGGGCTGGCTTCCTTCAGTTATTGGAGTTGTGAGTAAAATTTCCAGAATATCTCTTTATAACGATGATAATTGTGTTCATGATCCTAAATATAGATCTATAGCAAATGTGAAAATGCTTTAACTACTGTCTTCATGGGAAGTTCTCGCTGCCTTTGTAGCAGCATATAGCCTGCAGTTTGGGGAGGGAGAGAACTCAATTTCCAACAATGATAAAAAAAAGTGGTATAAGAAACTGAATTTCTGCTTAGATTGCTTAGAAGTATAGTTTTATGCATCTTATATTCCCTACTTTTTTATTGGGGACAATACATAAATCATGTTCTTGAACCTATTTACTGTAGGGTCTGTAGATCCATCTTCTATTCATTTAGTCATGCATTACTGTTGATTGCATGATTAGGGTATTTAATTAGATAGCGCCTCACAACATTATACAAGGGAGTGAAGATTGCATAATTCCCTAAAGGTCCAGAAATGGCAAGCTAATGAATTACAGGTTCTCTACACGAAAAGTTAATATTCTTCAATTTTCCAAACTTGCTTCCTAATGAATTATGATAGCTATTGCCACTACTTAGTCTGGTGATAAAGTTTACCTGGTTGTGGGTGTATGTAGGTAGATGTCTATCATTCTACCTATTACTGCATTACTTTTGCTGCAAATAGTTTGGAGCAAAAATTGAGGCAAAATCTATCAGTCCAGTTACACCTAATATTGGTGCAATTAAGTTTATAGAGATATTATAGGTTACTGCTCTGCAATGTTCCCTGTGTGCTTTATGCTTGAGAACTATAATTGCTCAAGTTTTGTTGTAATTGCAAGCCCTCTTTTTGTGTGATTCTGTCATAATTAATAGTTTCCTATTCTCTTTTCCCCAGATTCCTTATGTAGGTCTCAACTTTGCTGTCTATGAGTCTCTAAAAGATTGGTTAATTAAATCCAAACCTTTTGGTCTAGTAGAAGATTCTGAGTTGAGTGTGACAACACGACTGGCCTGTGGTGCTGCTGCTGGAACTGTTGGACAAACTGTTGCTTACCCTCTTGATGTCATTCGTCGAAGAATGCAGATGGTCGGTTGGAATCATGCTGCATCTGTTCTAACTGGTGATGGGAGAGTCAAAGTCCCTCTTGAATACACTGGAATGGTTGATGCATTTAGGAAAACTGTTAGGCATGAAGGATTTGGTGCTTTATACAAGGGTCTGGTGCCCAACTCTGTAAAGGTCAGTCATCTGATGCTCATGAATTGTATTGTAGACTTTTTCTTATCCGAGGAAGCCAGTTTGTATTTCCTGCCATCACTTCAGAAAGCTACTACTGTTTCTTTTTATCACTGGAAAAATTTGCAGACACTTTCATGTCACATGATTGATTGCTCTGTAGGATTCTCTCAATCATACACTGCTGACGTTACCACCCTGATAATAACTGTAACCATAATAAGTTTACCTGATTAGCCAAATGCCAGCATTACAACACACATTGCCTGTGGCTTTAGTCAAATATTGAGATTATATACTGGTTGATGGTCAGTTCCCAGATTAACTTGTAAATAAAGATAACTACAGACATGCACAATAACTGAACTCAGGATTGTTTATGAATTTTTCAATGTTTGCATTGGTCTCAAAAGTTTCAGTTGTTGAAGAACCATGCCTCTTTGAGTTGATAATTTCATTTGTTTTAACGACTGCTGGGTGGTCTTTTCAAGCTCAGTGTTTAGAAATTTTCTGATTTTCTTTTCACTGTAGTTCTTGCAAATGTTAATTAAACTAGTGTTCTTTGTTGAATATAGTTTACCTGAAGTTATCATCATTCAATGGCCTTGTTTATAACATTAATTGTCTCACTTGATGTTTTGCAGGTTGTCCCATCGATAGCAATTGCATTTGTAACATACGAGGTGGTGAAGGACATTTTAGGAGTTGAGATCAGAATATCAGACTAAAGAGACCGCATGATATCTGTTCACCCGGTGTGGTTTTTCTTTTCTTTTTCTGTAGGCAAGGGGATGCAGAGATGGTAACTTACTGTTATTTTCTTGTTTTTCATCTCTCCAAGGATGAGTTTAGAAACTCTTAGAGCTAGTTTCTATAAATTTATTCCCTTGTTCCTATTTGTTTTCCTTGTGAACGTGCTGTAGTTTTCAGGTTATTCATCTTCTATGTCAATAAGTGTTGTGGAAAAACAATGCAAGGACATATATATGTGCCTAGCTTTCTGCGCTAGTTGAAAAATCATTTTTCTTAGTGGAATTTGCATTAAATATTTGCTTGCCCTCCCGCCCCCTACCTATCATAGAAATAATACTTTTTTAATGAATGGGTTACAACATTTGCATTGGTGTGTCTAAAAGGACAGGTTAATGCAATGAATAATAATCTCATTTTACTTGTTTAACCATTTTGTCGTGGGTTTTGCCATGAAAAAATAGGACCTTTTAACATTTAGTTATTACTGCAATTTAATTGATGAGATCACGTTTCAATTCATAGAATGGAGGCACACGCACTATGTTCTATTACTCTTCTTTTGGGAGTCAATTAGAAATAGCAGTGTTAGACAAACACATTATTACTCCTTTGTTAGCTATTTAAGTGTTAAGTACGCCTTATCTACCCATTTATGCTTAACTGAATTTTGTTACCCAAACTATTCACCATTCAAAGACGAAGCTAGGACGTCAAGTGCGCAATGGAGATTTAGGCACAAATAATGTATAGTTGATAACTATATATAATAGGAACAAGTAGTCATTTTCTCTTCATTTCTAGTCTAACATAACGTGTATCGTCTTTTGGTATTTTGATTGCATGATGAAGGACATCTGAAATGCAAAATGTCAGATGAGCCCGTGGGTACAAGAGCCGACTATTAAGTGCTGGTCCGTCATAATCCTTTCCGTCCCACTGATCCAAAGCTTCTGATGGTATTGGCACAACAACATGTTGACCAACGTTTGAAAACAAATTTTGTGGGGACGTTCGTGCTTCTCTCTCTGATGTCTATCGTTGGAGTTCTTTGTCACGTTGATGATGACCTCTCCAGCTTGATCTCACATATCTCTCAATTTGTAATTTTGATGTACAAGCTGTAGCTCCTGCAACCGGATGCACTTACATTACGCTCACTCTCCTTAAATCTACGCAGTCATCAATCGTGATTGAAATTGACACTTGCATTATACAGGCAACATGTTTAGCTGGGCTAGAGACGCGTTTGTCTCATACAAGCAACATGTTTAGCTCACTCTCTCCTCTTCGTACTCTATCATCCTTTTTATTTCAGTGTCTCTTTCCCCTGCTCTACCATATAACCTATATTGAAAACAAATGTATTATGAATTCCAAATTAATTAATGTGTGTCTATGCATATTCACCAATAAAACTCGCCTTGGGAGAGGATTCCCCGCATACATCACGGGATTTATTTGAATCTACATTATTGATACAATTTATTCGCACTTCTATTTTTCCACTTTGATTTATCTTTTTTTTCCAAATATGAGGTTTTAATCTACCCTTAATTCTTTGTTTGGTTCATAACACAAGAAGTAAGAAAGGGAAAGAGTTAAGTAGTGGTTGTCGGGGAGGTAAAGAAGCTGGCTGACAAATGCATGGCGCAACATGTAATAGTCTAAGGTTAATGGTAATGTACGTGAAAGAATAGATCAGATCCAAATGTGAAAGAATCTTTGTTGCTTTCTTAAACAAGGCTTGTCATCAGTTAGTCCCAAAGACTTATTTCCAATTTTCTTTCAACATTTTGTCTGATATACAGTAATCACTAAATATAGATAATAATTGACTGATAAAATATGATTATTTATCTTCCCAAAAGAATTTACTCACAATATATGTTTTAAATTCATATTATTGTCTAGTAAAAAATATATTAAATTTAATATTTTTTTTGTAACTTTAATCTCACAAAAATTAAAAGAGTTTGAAGGTAAATATTTTTTTTATTCTCTTCTATTAATAAATTGTAAATTTATAATTAGATAAAATATTTAGTTATAATAATTTTAATAAATAATTAAGTATTTATAATAAAATATTATCAAAATAGAATTTGTTTCTTATAATATTGACCATTATATTAAGGTATACTTTTATTTTCTCTATTCATTATAAATAGTAATAGTTTTATACTTTATTAGAATCATTTTATTTTATATAATCTTTTTTCCCAATTTTTTTAAAAATTAATGTTTCATTATAATAAAAGAAGTTTAGTATTAGTTATAAATACTGATGAGCAGTGATGGTCTAGCTTTAAATTAAAGATCTTCGAAAGGTGGGTGAGAATACAGAAAAGTGTGTCATATTTAGGAGCATGATGCATAAAACTAAATTTGATATCTAGAAGATGTTGAATAGATTACAGAGAAACCGTGTCAGATTATGCTTACAATAAATAATTATTTCGAATGTTACAAGTTTTTTTTTTAGAACAATGTCAATCACAAGTTGTAACCGTGTGAAGGGAGAAAATAATCAATTTAACTAAACTTTTGTATTTAATTAAATCCTTAATCAAACAAACAAATGAATAATTGAAAATAAAAATAAAAATAAAAATGGAGTCCATGATCTTGGTTAAATAAGGACCTACCATGAAAATAGTGATGACATGTCTATTAAATTTTGAGAGACAACTTCCTGATTCTTGAGACCTAAAGAAATGTGCACTTTGTTCTTTGTTTAGTATGAATATAGACTTTCTTATTGGCATTTTTGCATCTAAGGAGAGGTGAGATTGGAGTAAGATTACTTCTTTTCTTCCCCACCATATTTGTAATAGGATAGATAATACCCTTCAATCCTTTGCCTTTTTGTAATCGAAATGCTTTCCTTTTTTTAATCAGTGATTTATTGTTCCTAATTTGCAACTATCGCATATTTTATCCTATGCTAATTACCTTTCTTCTTCTTTTTCTAGGAAGCTAGTAATTAACCTTTAAAGTATTTGCATGGATGCTGCTATTTATTAGATATAATACACTGTGAACTAAAAATTAAAATAATTATTTTTGCTTGATCGTGCCTTAAATAAAAACATTTATATGAGTGCTGCTATTTGATATGAAAAATGACAAACAAAATTGTCGTATTTACTATTATGTATTATTCCATTTATATTAATATTTTTTACACGCGCGACACGAGTGTAGGGTTGCCCTAGAGGATGTGGCCACAAGTGGAGCCACGACACATAACTCAAAACCAAACTATTGCAAACCCTCCTTTTACGCTACCCCTTTAAATTGACACTAATGTTGACATTAATTACAATCAAACCACCACTTCCGCCGCCACATGCAACCCTTGACGGCTTGACCTTCGAATCCTTTCTCGTGTCACCTTATTGGGCAGATGTCATTTTCCTTTCCCCATCAAAACATTGCACTCAAAATAAATAATTACATTTACATTCATATATATATATATATATATATATATATATAGGTTAACCTTTAAAAATATGTTGTTATTTGTTAAGTTTAATCAACATAGATTGTACCATTCTTGAGCCTTCAATTTAACTCTTTTATCAACCTTAATTCTCTTTCCTCTTTTGCTATATCATTATGATATTTATATTGAATAGATTAAGATTTCATTTGTTTTAAAATTTAATAAAACTGTTTGGGATAAAATTTTGGACAAATTACATTTCTATTTCTCTTAATTTACTTAATAATTATTAAGAAATTATGATATATATATATATATATATTTATTCGATATCAAATTAATTATAATATATATCTAAAATAATTTGTCTCAAAATATGCTCTAAAAGATGGGTCTTAACGAAGGAAATTGTTTCTAAAGATTATCCTAAACACTGAATAACTGTTTTCTAATTACTCGTAAGTCATGTTTAAGAAGCAACCGCCGAAATTTGCTAAAAACATTAAACACCGATACCAACCAAGATCAAACTAGTGGTTGAAGTTTAAACCTAAGCTCCTAAAGTATTTTTACTAATTATATATATAAAAAAAACGTTAGCTTTGGAGCTTCTTGGTTTAAGTTTTGAGTAATCTTTTACCAATCTTTCACTTAAGTAACATCACAAATAGAGTGAACTCCCAATCAACTAGGCTAATGAAAAGACCATACCAGCCACTATTTACATCAATAAAACTTCAACAAATTGTTTGCCAAAAAAGAAAACTTCAACAGATTAATTAATTTTTTGAAGAAAGATTAAATCGTTGACTTAGACAATAAATAATTGTGGGAGAATAATCTTAACAAATATACAGAAAAAAAAGTTGATAAAGTTAATATTAATTTATACTCCAATGTGTGTAGCTGGCGGCAGCCACAAGAGAATAATATCGTGGCTGTACTTTTTGCCTCAGACGTGGACACTCCTAAGCTAATTAATGAAAAAAAAGAAAAATAGTTAAATTGTGTCCATAATAATTGTAATAAATATCTAACACAAACACTCTGAATTCAAGTATTTATATTGGTTTTCATTATATTTAGTTTGACAGTGTTGGGGGCAAGATATTTTTGGCTGCAAGGAACTCTAGTTAGCTTAGCTGGTGAGGTAACCATGTTCTTCATTTTATCCATTCTGGTCTCTAATTTCTGCTTTGAAGTGCCATTGTTATGATCTTTCTCTCATTGGCTACTACTTTTTTCATTGGTATTATATGTATTGTTGCTTCATACAAAATGGTTGATTTCATCTTTTCTTCATTCAACATGCCAATTCTATTTCTTGTTACCAATTTTTTTTTTTTAAAAAAAAGAAGTTTAAAATACATCTATGGTTCTATGTTTTGTTAATCCTTTGAAATTTTCAGAGGAAAAAAGAGGGTATTTTGCACCCCATTTGTGCTATCTGAATAGTTGAAGTTCAGATTTAAATAATTCTCTTTTATCCTAGCAGTGGTAACGTTTTCACTTTTCAGTCATATTCATGATTTGTCTCTTTATGTTGGCGGTTTTTCTCTGTATGTGTTTATTTTAATCTTGTTTATCTAAATTTTCTTAGTGCAGGACTTTTTATTTGCTTGAAGGAACTGCATTTGGATTTGCATGAATTTGACTAGAAGACATGACAACAGCAAATGGTGGGGCAGGGACTGAGGAGCACAAGAGAAAAACCAATGATCCTTTTCTCAAGTCCCCTGGGCACCAAAATATGCCCAAATCACCTAGATTGTGCACACCTATAAGGAAGGAATGGCCAGAGAGTTTGCCAAATGACAATACAATTGGTAATGAGGATAATGGATTGAATAGATATGTTACTTCCTTAGCTGGATCTGGACCTCCTGGTACTAATTTTTGTTCCACAATTGATTCTGAACACATTGTTGAAGAATTACCTGTTAGGAATTATAAGAATCAGAATATAGATGTAGTTAACCACCCGCATAATTCAAGACAGCCTCTGAGGAATCAATTGGCTATTGAGTCTAAGTATAATAGCTTGAGTAGAGAAATTGTACCCAAGGTTGAATTACAGATACCACTCAAATTAAGCAAAGGACTAAAGGGAATTGATTCCGAAATTTGGGGCCTGAAATCTCTGCCACTGAAAGTGTCTGCAGATATAAGCAATAGGAATAAGACTATCACCTCAAGCAATGCACATCTGAATAGCAGTAAAACGCATAATACTTTGTCTGCATATAATTGTCCTCAATTGGTTGCAGAGCAAACAGTGAAGGGAAAGGGTGTTATTTGCAAAGATTTAGACAAAAACTTTGGTCTTGGAGGAGTGCTTATGAGCCAAGAGGATGAGAAACCTGCTTTTGCAACTAAGCTTCAACATGACACGCTGCTGAGACCAAATGTGGTTGATAATAACCCTTCCTTAAAAGAAACAGCCGTGATGTGCGCAGAATCTTCTAATGATGCACTCAACTTAAGAGAGTGGATTAAGTCTGAAGATCATATAATGAAGAAATCAGTAAGGCTACAAATATTTAAGCAGATCTTGGAAATGGTTGATTTTGCACACTCCCAAGGAAATGTCTTGAAAGATTTGAAACCATCTTGTTTCTCTTTACTGCCTTCAAGTAAAATTAAATATATTGGTTCATATGGCCACCGAGAATTAGATAATGAAGTCATGAAGCGCAATGTGACTTGGAAAAGGCCTCTGGAACAGGATATCGGTGCTTGCCAAAGTTTGAGTACAAAGCAGCAAAAGCTCTGTGAGGAGACAGGATCTTTTAGGCAGCAGCATCACTTCACCTGTATTCATGGCTCCAGGACAATGGTGAATCAAACTGACTCTGACACAAATGGATCCATGGAATCAAGGAACAAAGAAAGTTTGTACCAAAATGATTCTAGTCATCAATGCACTTACACTGATGAAAAGCAGTATATGTCTGTAACCATTCAGTTAGAAGATAAATGGTATTGTAGTCCAGAAGTGCTAAATGGTGGACCTTGCACATTTTCATCAAATATTTATAGCCTTGGAGTTCTTCTTTTTGAGGTAAGCAGATATTTTGTCTCACACATTTGTTATTTATCATAGACTTTATCCTTCAGTATTTCCTCTTGATAGCCATTAACCAGCCAAATTATTTTCTTGGACTTCATTAATGAAACTAACCAGAGTTTTACTATACACCATTGTTTATTTTTTCCCTGTATGTTAATGAATGTGATATGAGATTTTTGGCCACTGTAACCTAGCAAGAGATTACTTCCAAGCAAGACATATCGGTTTGACATACCATAACAAACCTTTGGAAATGATATTGAAACATATGAGTTACAGAAATTTATTCAAACTACCTGGATTAGAGTAGTTAGATATTGTTGATCTTTTTAACTATTTAAGTTGCTTCTAGTCATTCTCTAAGGTTAACTGTTTAAATCTGTTAAATTTTTTTAACATTTAAGTGGATGCTTCTCTCAGTTGCTGTGCAACATTGAATCATGGGAGGCACATTCAACTATGATGTTGGATTTGTCTTGTAGAATCTTACCACCAAAATTTCTATCAGAAAACCCAAAGGAAGCTGGTTTTTGTCTTTGGCTTCTGCATCCTGAGCCATCTTCTCGCCCCATCACCAGGTGACACAATATGCTCCTGTTCTTCTGCTTAGTGATATCTTTCTGTCTCATTTGAATCTGTAAAATTTCTCATACTCAGAAGGTGTATACAAGTTGCGTAATTGTTGTTGTTTTTATAAGCTTTTATTTGGTGATATCTGTTGTTAAAGGTCAGGTTTTTTTTGGTCAAGGGTAGCCTAATATGAATCACGATAGGTGATGATACCATTTTAAATTTGGCCTAAAGTTTAATTCAATCCTAAAAACTTGCTTGTAAGATTAAGATTATTTTAACCTTTATAAGCTCTTGTTTGTCCATATTTGTAGTCGACGAGGGACTTTAACAAAATTCATTAACATGATAATGTCACTTGATGTTCTTTTTGTACAACTGCAACTTGTATACAATAAAATGAAGCTCGTTCTTAACTTTATTTGACAGCCAGATGGCTGCTCTTATTGTTCATAATGCTTGACAAACCAAATAACTGAAAGGGAGAAAAGGATAAGGAGTGTTTCTAGAATGGATTTAAGCTCAATAAAAAGTTGGCCATGTATCCAATTGTGTAAATGAGACTTGGAAACTGATTGCAGCCTATTAAATTTTGCTATTAGCTGCCTTTGTTTAGGACATGCTATTCAGGTTGGCCTTTTGGACTTCTTGGCCCTTTGTAAATCAAGATAACTGTTCTCAAATTCAACATCATTTCTTCATTTTCCTTAATATGTTTAAATAATCATATGGCTGAAAGAATATTGATGTTGATGTTTAAAGGAAAACCTGTTTCTTCTATAATTCTGTAATTCTCCCTTTATCTATAACAGGATGATTTTAGAATCTGAATTCATATGCGAATCAGAGGAATCAAGTTCTGGAGAAGATGTTGTAGTATCTGATGATGATGAGACTGAAACAGAGCAATTAATACACTTTCTAATTTCACTCAAAGAAGAAAAGAAAAAACAGGCAGCCAAGTTGGAAGAACAGCTAAATTGCTTGAATGAAGATATTAAGGGGGTTGAAAGAAGTTATTCATTTGGAATAGATTCAGTATTTCACATAGCACAAATGAACAATCCTGAATTGAGAGGAAATAGTTTACATTTTCAAGACTCTTCCATCTCAGATATTAATACATCTATTCCACGATCATTTGTTGATGAAGAAAGATTCATGAGTAATATAAATCAATTAGAGAATTCTTACTTTTCGACAAGATTCAAAGTCCTTGCAAAAGAGGCATCAGCTGTTTTAAACAATGATAAAAATGTGGTGGAAAGTAGATGGAGGTTGTCTCATGTAGAGAATGTTAATAAGGAGCCTAGAGGAATTCAGAATTCTGTTGGTTGCCTGGGATCCTTCTTTGAAGGTTTATGGAATTTTGCTCGTTACAGCAAGTTTGAAGAGTGTGGCACATTAAGAAACAGAGATCTTCTTAGTTCTGCTAATGTAATGTGTGCTTTAAGTTTTGATCGGGACGAGGATCACATTGCAGCAGGTGGAGTTTCAAAGAAAATAAAGATTTTCGATCTCAACTCTATTTCAAGTGATTCTATTGATATCCAGTACCCAGTAGTTGAGATGTCAAATAAATCAAAGCTTAGCTGTGTTTGCTGGAACAGTTATATAAAAAATCATCTGGCTTCTACTGATTATGATGGTGTAGTTCAGGTGTGTAATCCTTGCAACATTAAAACTAATTGATGAAAATCAATTTTAATCATATCCTTTCATTCATACCAACCAAGCCATCATTGCTTTAGATATTAACTATTTCTTTGGTTTCATTGCCATTAATAGTATAATATGTATGGATGAATTCAGATGTGGGACGCAGACACTGGTCAGCCATTGTCTCAATACATGGAGCACCAAAAGAGAGCTTGGTCTGTTCACTTTTCTCTGGCAGACCCAAAAATGTTTGCTAGTGGAAGTGATGACTGCTCTGTCAAACTGTGGAATATCAGCGAGGCATGCTTTCTTTTATGCATTTAATAACAAATATTACTAATTTATATACTAAAACCTCTTTCATGTTCTTTTTCCCCTTCCTTGGGCAAAAAAGAATATTGTGCAAAGAAACATAACTATGTGACAGGAAAGATGATGTTGAACGTTTTTGCTTCATAGCACGTAATAATTGTCTCAAATGCTGTTTTTTTTTTTTTTTTTCAGAGAAACTCTATGGGAACCATCTGGAACCCTGCCAATATATGCTGTGTTCAGTTCTCTGCTTACTCAACAAATCTTTTATTTTTCGGATCAGCTGATTACAAAGTATATGGTTATGATCTTCGTCACACAAGAATCCCTTGGTGCACATTATCTGGTCATGGTAAAGCTGTTAGCTATGTAAAATTTATAGATGCTGAAACAGTTGTCTCTGCTTCCACTGACAACTCTTTGAAGCTTTGGGACCTGAATAAGACCAGCTCTTCGGCGTTGTCATCTGATGCTTGTGTCTTAACCTTTAAAGGTCATAGTAATGAAAAGGTTGGTTTCTCTTCACATTTTACCTCACTTTTTGTCTTCTTTCATTTGTTCTAACTTATTTATTTGTTCATCTTCAGAATTTCGTGGGATTATCTGTTTTGGATGGATACATTGCATGTGGTTCAGAATCTAATGAGGTATAGTTGTTGTTTTATCATAGCCTTGACTTTGCAAAATGCTGATTTTGTCATGAGGCCAGCAAAATTTTTATCTGCATGTGGGCAAATAAATTAGTTTCTTTATTTTCTTGGGAATTTTCTCGTGTTACTCTATGGTTTCTTAGGATCCTGATCACAGAATGGAGTTACATATAGACTAATCTCACGTAACATTGTTTTTGGTTTCATCATTTATATGATTAGATGTGCTTATGCACATCAATAAATGGTCTTACTTATCTCACATGACATCAAGCTTTGTTATTTCAATCCTAATGGATTCTTTTTTGTAATTACAACTTAAAATTTTATGCTGGTAATTAGTTAGGAGGTTTAACTTCAAGCCAAAAGTTATGCGTAATGAACAAATAGGCAATGAATGTAACTGCTCTGAACACCAAGTTTATACTTTATAATCCATGGAAGATGCTTGGAGTTCATATTTAGGTCCTGTTCCTAATTTAATGTGTACAATCGTAGAATATAAATATCATCCATTCTTACAAATTAAGACTGATAAAAAGGAGAAGTGATTCATATTTATATCATGCCAATGATATTTAATGGAGCTTACTTCTCTTAATTGAATTTTCCTGCAAATGTGGAATAATAAAATACAAATTCTAATTCATTTTAAACATTTCTACCTTTCAGGTATACTGTTATCACAAATCTCTGCCAGTGCCGATCGCTACTCATAAATTTGAGTCAATTGATTCCATTTATGGTCATCCAAATAGTGGTGATAATAGGGGACAGTTTGTTTCAAGCGTTTGTTGGAGAAAGAAGTCTAACATGCTTGTTGCTGCCAACTCAGTTGGAATAGTAAAACTATTGCAGATGGTCTGACAGAAAGAGGAAATATTTGGTTCATACTGGAACCTGTAAAGCAGTTCAGTTCCTGACACCATGATATTTTGATTTAGTATCTCTTTCAAAATACTAGGCATAATTTTTATTTGAGGTGAACACTCGGTCCAGTGATTCATTCAGGATTCGATGATTAATGGAGAATAAAGCATAAATGGGGTCATGGTTTGTCATTGCTTCTGAGGCAAGCATCAATGTCTCCTTAATTTCCATGCATAGGTAATCTTTTCAGGAGCTTGTTTTTAACAATATGACATGAGGAGCACTTTTTTCTTAAAATCTGAACCAAAATAAGCTGAAGAAGAAATGTATATAGCATGTACAAATGTAGGCGTTTGAACTGAAGCATTGATGAAGCTGGAGCATGCAAATCTTTTTAAGATATCATTACTTCTGTATATAGCACACCTTCCACAGTGCAAAGCTACAAGCTGGAGGCACCTGACAGACCTTGAAACCAAGTCAAATTTGTTGTTTTACAGCATAACGTCTCGCTCCTAAACATCCAAGCTCCTGAGACTGCAGTCTGTTAAGCAAGTGAGGGACATATTATTAAAGCAGATCTGGATTGAGCGCAGAGATACATACTAATTACCTTAACTTCCAAATCACTTTTAATTTATCAAAAAATGTACAGGATCTGCTCTATGCTTTGAATTTGCTTGAAAAAGCTAATTGTAGTTGATATAATGGTTAAAATATTAATTGTACATTTCATTTAAAATTGTGCAAAAGTTGCATGTTTATTCTTATTGGTTGCCAACTCTATCCCTATGTCACTCAGAATTCATTTTCTCTTTTGACATCTTTTCCTTTCACAGAACATTTTTATTAGTCACCTGAAAATGAATATCTCATTGAAAATTGGTAAGGAACGCGATCTTTAGTAGAACTGCTAAAACCTTTCCTATTTTACATTTTAGTCTTCTGTTATTTTTTAAGTACCATAGTGTTGTATTTGATTCTCCAGGTTCTATCTCCACCCAGTTACTAAGGATAAGGAAATGGTGGATAAAAGTTTTCATGCATTGAAGAGACTTTTGGCTGTGGCATGAATACAAGGAGTCAGTCACAGTACGTTTTGCTGTTCCTATCCTTATTCACAAACTACTCACTTCAAGAATGCCTTAACTTCAACTACTCAGAGTTAATTTTGTGAATCCTTCCTGGCAAATGAGAAGAGTCTTGAGTTTATAATTACTCAAGGTATCTACTCAGTGTCTGAAGTCAGACTAAAAGCCAGATTGTATCTTGAAAATTTGATGGTGTTCTGTGTTCTAAGAAAGCTCAGAGTCTGAGACATGACCAGAAGAGACTCTTCTTATTGTCCTTGGACTTGATATCATGTGGTTATCTGAAGTAACCCTCAGACTTCGTGCTCGAGGGGACATTTGTGGAGGTCTGGCTGATCTCCCTCGTGGTGTACCTGCATTGAAAAAACACATGATGATGTTAAGAAACAATTAGCATTCACATAAATTTTATTCTATATTTATTTTTTTGGTTTTGATCGCTGAGTGCGAAGGTCCTCAAGGGGCAGATCTTTATTTTGAGAAATGTAAGTAACATGTTTTCTAATAATCTTTTATTATCTGATGAAATACAAGTGGATTTCACTACAAAGGAAATAAGAAAGAACCACATCATTCAGTGTGATTCACTCGTATTTCATCCTGTTAATAAATATTGTTGAAAAGAGTGTATTATACAGTGTATTACGAACATTTTTCTTTCACTAATTTCTTTTGTGTATGTCAATAAATTTGGTCAAATGTGTACATACTTTGTTTCAAGACATGGCAGTTCGTGGAAGTGCTTTATTTGGGTTTGCTAAATTCTTTGTAATGCTATATGCCATGTCAGACACCACAAGTGGTACTTGTTTTTTCTTGAAAATTCTCTATCCACATGCTGTTAGAATAATTGTCTATTATGATACGTTTTCTGGCAACTTCATTAGACGTAAGAGTTGTTTACTTTTTACATTAATCATAGCTAAAATACTTATGTAATTTTATCAGATTCCTCCTGGCAGGCATTTTTGTATCCTTAGCATGATGAAGTTTGCAACTATAGTACCAGAAAATATGTTGAAATAGAAAAAGAAACTAAGTGAATTTGTAAATCTAACTAACATGCCATTATTTTACTTCTATAACATTAGCTTCTTAAGCTCCATCAATTGCAGTATTTAAGAATTCCATGGTTACTAACAAGAGAAAAAAAAAATCAGAAGGTAACCTGGTTGTTTGGTGATCTTCAAATCTAGAGATTTCCTGTTCAAAGTAATCTTCCTGTTCATACCATCATGTCCAACCAAAACTTTCCTCTCAGTTGTGGATGGAAATGGCTCATCCCCTGAAGTAACAAGTTCATCACCACAGGCTGAAGCATCACTTCCCGATTCAGAGTTATCCTTAGAGTGTGTACTTATTTTTTCTCGCTCTATAACTTGGTAGGCAAAGATTTGAAACGGAATGATTGAAACTGGTGATGATTCAGAACTTCCCCAAGAAGGAAATTTCCTCAAAAGTACTGACTCTATATCACAGTAATCTACTGGTGGCATTGGTGGGTCTGGATGACCGTTGTAACCAGGATTCATTGCAAGAAATCTTTTTATATAACGAAGAACTCTACATATGGAAGAGAAGCTCGGACGCTGGCTTGGGTCAGTATGCCAACATCTCTTTGTCAAGTTGATAACATATTTTGGTGAATTGAGCGGGAAAAGTGGTCTCTCTCCTGCCCTTATGTTTCTACTCATTTTCTCCCCTTGAAGATGACTATCTTCAAAGGGGACTTTGCCAGTTAGAAGCTCAAAGCAAACCATTCCAAAACTGTACACATCGGATTTCTCCGTGTACTTGGTGTTTGTTACACCTCCTGATTGTTCTTGCTCTTCAAGGACTTCAGGAGCATACCAGATGAATGGTAGAGATCCATTCTGATTTGTATTCCCTTTCTGGCTCAAGTCCTTCACAGAAGGTAGACCGAACCCTGATACCTTGACATGCAAGTAACCTTCTTGGGAATGACCTCTAGGGGTAACAAGAATGTTTGAAGGGTTTAGTTCTCCATGATATACTTTCTTTGAATGCAGATACTCCATTCCTCTGGCAATCTGAAGCATATGATCAACTGCCACATGAAGCAAGAACGGTAATCGCTTCCTTGGGCCATGAATATCTTTGATGTGTGCGGAAAGGGTTTTGCTCATCAGTTCCATCAACAAAAAGCATTCTTTTTTCTCCTCATCACTGAAACCACAAAGGTAGTCCATTATATGTGGGTGGGAAAGAGATAAATGTTCTCTGATCTCGGGTTCAAAAGCTTCAATGTCTCCATAAAAATGTCTTATGACAAAGTTTTCTCCTAACCATTGAATCTCCTTGTACTGACTCCCATTCCCCATTCTTTTCCTCACCTGGTAGTCCTTAGACCCCACCAAGATTGAACTTGGCAGGAGCTTCCCTTCCAGTGACTCTGATCTTTCCAAATTCCTCAAAAGAAGATCTATTAATTTCTTCTCATACTTTGTTGTACCTGCCAGTTTCTTTTCCTGGATTTTGTTGGAAAGGAACCATCTATCTTCCTTCCAAACTGTATCATAACGGTTGCATAAGTCCTGAGTAATGAGGTACTGCTTCCCAAATTTCCACTGGAAAAGCTTCATGTCTCTATATTCTTTCCTGTACTTATTGGAGTTGATCATCCTCTTCCTTTGCGTGTCATCTTGATCCCACCCCGAGGTTTCTCCCGCGGATTCAATAGCTTCGATTAAAATTGGCATGCAACAAAGCAAGTTGTGTATATGAAACTCAACACAATCTTTGTTGTGAAACAAGGTAATGGCTTTAGCCCACCAGTCCTTTGTTTCCAAGCAATGCCTAATGTAAGCTTCTCCTTCTCTGAAAATCCTATGGATCTCTCTCAAGGGCTGTTCAAGAGCCTTCCACTTTGCATTCTTCTCTTCAAATTTCAGGTTCTGTGTAATCTCATCTGCAATAGACTCATATGCAAAGGTGAACACATGCAGCAGCAAACAACATTGCCTCTGATTGATTTGAATGCTCTCCCGGAATACCATCATAGCTTTCAAACTCCCAAGTGCCTCTCCAATCTGTCTAAATTGTTCCATAGCTTTGGTTTTGATCTAAAACAATCCCTGTAAAGAAGGGGGGTGAATCTGAATATTTTTTATTCACAAAGGAAACCAATGTAATTCATCAATGAGTTATAGATTCTAACCAGATAGGAATGGTGGAGACCAATCATAAAATGAAGCAAAGAATGAGATTGAGATCAAGCTCCTTCTAGTGTAAAGCTGATGCAGATTAAAGCACTTTCAATATGGTACAAAACTAACGCAAAATTATTTCCTTCCATGATGTGATAAAAAATTGAATAGGAAGAAAAATGACTTCTGGGTTTCCTATGCAAGATGTTATGCCACCACCTTTCCTAGAGAATCGATCAATCTTGGCATAGGAACCAAAAACGAAAAACAAAACAATGAAGAAATGAAAAAAAAAATTGAAAAAAAGGGCCTTTGGTATGAAGTTTGTAATATTAGTTAACCAACAAGAAGTTTTAAGGGAAGTTGTGTGTGCAATACAAGATTAGATTGTTTTGCAAACATGGTCATTCTCGCGAGTTTTATGGGTCTTAGTTGTTTGAAATGACCATTTCTTTCTGCCTACTGCTCAGTTAATACGTGTCCCTTTCATAATCAATCATCCAACTCTCCTACTAAGATTCTTGCCATGCCAATTGCCAAAATTTAGGAGGCCTTTTAATAATTTATCAATTACAAAAAATGTTTGATAGAATTGCAAAAAAATTATCAATTTTAAGGTGATTAATACGTTAAGAATGAATAATTATTATCTTGGATGATATTTAGTACGTGTCTATATATATATTCTTAATTAAAACACATTTGTGAATGAAGTTATTCAGAACAGAAATCTTGAAAAAAACTCTTCTAGTATATTTTCTTTTATCGGAATTAGGCACTGTCAGATGCTACAATAGTCGCATATATCTTTTCTAAATGCCTGCATGCATGTATCACAAAAGGAAGGACTTTTTTTCCTGCATTGGTGCAATTTCATTACAAATTTATAAGATTAGAGTAATTTTTATTTTTTACATAAATAGAGTAAATACTTCTTATATCTAACTATGTTTTTTTTATTAAAAAATAATAAGTTAATCATGTCTAACTTTCAATTTTTTAATAAAATAAAAAATCGTACATGAAAAGATATACGACTTTATTTATTATAAAAACATAGTCATATATTACAAATACAACTTTTATCTTTTAATTACAAAATATAAACACAGTCGTATCTAAAAAACTACAACTGTTTACATAAAAAAAAAAAAAAAAAAAAAGTCACACTAATCTTATAAATATATTATAAAATTATATTGTACAATTAAAAGCAAAAAAGTCCAAAAGAAGCATGGACTGACATGTATAACATAGCTGTTTTTAACCTTTTCTTTATCTCTTTGTCTCGGTACTCTCCCCATGTTCTCACAAATATTGAAGGTGTCATTCCCTGCAGGGTATGGATTTTACTGTTACCTCTTAAAGCATAATATTGAGTTTTGTGGTTGTGGACCACCCTATATATCCCACCCTCTAGTCACTTTTGATACTTATACATGGGATTTCTGCACTTGTTTTTTTTTTCTGCTTTTCTTTGTTTTTAAAGGATAACAATAACGAAACCAAATAATTGCCCAGTGTTTTGTACAGTGATCAATCAACTTCACAGTCCATGTCACCCACTGATCAATAATGTTGAATTTGTTTGTATTACAAGATCTGAGCTGCTTTCAACTCAATTGCGTTTTGCATTAGAATTTAGCAACTTCCAAGTGATTAAAGAATACAATAATGTGCTGTTGTATCATATGATCTATTCATCTTTGATTAATTTAAAGCGCACAATAATGTTTGACACACTATAATTTAATGACCCTTATGTTACTTAATTTAATGACTCTTTTAATTATGATATAGGGTTGTAGGATTGAGAATATAGATGACAATTTGTATGTCATTCTTCACTCAAGTATCTCTGCAAGGACTACTTCATTCAGGTTTTATTTGAATTTTATTTCCTATAAAAGACAGCGATAAAAATCAAATAAAAAACCAAAAACAAATTTTTCTGACTCTGTAAGACTCTGGTGTGATAAAAACTTGTTTTCTTAATATTTGATATATAAAGTGTATTTTTAGTCTTTTTAAATAAAACTAATAAATTATTTTTACAACATTAAATTTAGTAAAGGTGATTTAAATTTATTATATAAGGAAATAAAAGAGAAGCGGATACAAGGTTTCTTTAAATTATAGTTTTGGTTTTAGATAAACTAATGAGATTTTTTTTATAAAAGAAATAAATAAATTGATATAATTTTTAATGCAATATTTTATTTCATCAGCCCACTTAAAATAGTTATTTATTCTAGATAATACCTTAGACAAACCAGTTAATATAATGTACCATTTAACTTGGCTACTTGTGACAAATAAAATTTTGTTGGCCCTAATTCTTCAATCTATTTATGACTTTTATGTAAAATAAAAAATTACATTTCCTAGTTGATTGGCTGAACATTTACACATTTGGTATAACATTTTTTTTATTATACTTGTTTGACTTCAATGCTTCATTGTCTGTCTATTTTTCCAACAAGTGGTGCTTAGAAAACTTGTACATTAACATTAACATGTTTTCAATTGGAACCAGCTGAGGTCATAGACAACGAAAGACCAATGTCTGGCTTAATTTTTATCTATCTCTTACTCTTATTATCCTTGCTTTGGTGTTCTTCACATGTTTTCTGTATGCACATGTTAATGTCATACAGATACTGCTCTATTTTTCCGTTTACTTCCCAAATCTGTCAACTAAACTACATTTTCTCAGCCCTGGCCATCACGTGCTTGCAATTGTACATAACAGGGAATATGCCTTCAATTGAAGAAATAAACAAAACTAGCACAAAAATACAAACCCTTTCCCTTTCCATAGCATATTTGGTCGGTCTCACAATTTTAGTAGACTTCATTTCCCTTGTATAAAATAAAATACACTTTTTAAGTTTAAAAAAAAATCCTATTTCGCTGATCATTTTTATTCAATTATTTCATAAAAATGTTTTCTAGAAGTTCTATGCTCTTTATGTTATACCCTTCAATCTTTTTTATAAAAATATTTTTAATTAAACTACTCATTAAAAAAATTATTAGAAGTGATTGATGAATTGATTTTTGAAATATTACTGACAGCATTTCAAAATAAAAGACAAATGAGTGAAAACATGATAAATACTTCTAAAACTTTATAAAAGATTTATATTAAAGATCCACAAAAATCTCTTAAGAATTTTATGAAGAGGAAGGAAACCGGACGGCACATGCTTTTATACTTCCTATTTTTGTTAAAATAAATACCTTCATTTTATATTTTATAATTAATATCATAATCGTGTTCAAATTTAAGATCTTAAAAATAGGTAGATTAAAGATATGCATCACCTCAAAAAAAGGTTCATGTTTTGTACTTAACTGTCGTCACTACTATAATTAGTATATGTTAATGACAAGTTAGAATTCAGCTTACTTAACTGGCCCAACCCTTAGAAAGGAGTAGATTGAGATCCCAGAATGGTTTCATGAATTAGTGTCTTATATAGAGGATTTTGCAAGCAGGTGCAATCTCCAATTGAATAGCTTTGTACATATGATAACCTTAAATTAAATATCCTATTCATACAGGCAAAGCTTATTTTTCCCAAAGAAAATCTTCTACTCTATATATAATCTATTATATATATAACTCAAATCTTTTACAGGGATTTTTACAATTTAACAAGAAAAAAAAAATCACTTGGGCCAGAAACATACATGCACCCCAAGACCCGTCAAAATCACCTGGTTCCAGGTTGTTCATAACACAAGAAGATGCAGCCAAGTTGTGTGATACATAGCATAGGCTAAGGTGATGAAGTGTCATCGTCTGAGGAATTGTATTGTCTCCTTCCATGTAGTCCAGGAAGAGGTTGTGGAAGCATTGGATTCACTGGTACAGGGAATCTATGTGCAGAACTAACCATTGTTCTCTCATTTATCATACCAACTTCTTTGCACACTCTATCAAGAACTGTTAAGAAGTCTCTTACTACCATAAAGATTCTAAATGGATGAGCTTCTTCCTTTGACAAGTTCCCATGAAAATATTCTGTGATCTCCTTCACAAGGGATAAGGCAACACTTTCTTGGGCTTGAACTTTTAGAATCTCCTCTTCAGCCATTCTCATGAACTTGTTCATTGACTCTTTGAATTTCTCACTGCTTTCATCTGATCCTGATGTTTCATTTAACTTCACAACCTCTCCTATGTGGGTGAGTCCTTTGGAAAGTTTTGACACCTCACTGCTGAGGACTTCAGAATCCATAGCTGCGGCCTTCTTCACATTTGCTAGCTCTGAACTCAAGCTAGATACAACTTGCAGGCCGAGCCGTCTACACTTGGCATCTTCGTTGAGATTTGTGCTTGGAGTTTGGTTGGTGCCTGAGAGACGTGCGCCTTCAGTTCTGATAATTTCCTGGACGACGAAGTGTAGTAGAGTGGTTTTCCCGTCTGCACCTTTGACATCAACCAGCTTGAGAAGTGTATCAAGCTTGAATGCATGTGCGTCACCACGGTTTGTCCCCACATTCATGCGGTTCCCAGTTTTAAGCACAGCCTCTAGGAGCTTCAAGAACATTCTACTGTTTCGCAGCTCTTCACAGGCAGCCTGCAAATGCAACAATCAGAAAATGTACAAAACTAAAACTCAGCATGTACAAGAGAAACCTCCAGAGAACCACATGAGGACATTGTTATCAGATTCTGCGAGGCCTCCATCAGAAATGAATATGCTTTGGGAAAAGAGTGATGAATACCTCCAAAGTTTGAAAGGATTTTCTAAGATACTCCACTTCCGACTCAAAATTGGCTATGTAAAGCATTGCTTCCACCCTTTTAAATGCGAAAGGAACATCAAGCACTGCCTTCAAAAATTTCTCGGCAGGACCAAGCTTGGCTGGAGAATCATCTTTATGTTCCTTCAATTTACGTTCTTCTTCCTTGCTAGGTGCCATTTTTAACAAGCTTTCAAGTAGTTCAGTTCCAAGGGTATCAGTAACACCTATCAAAAGGTAAAATAATTTAGTTATATAATATGTACATAGACAAGTAATAAAAATTGGAAGGTGGTGGATAGATTTAGTCATTGTGTCAATCAGCACATTCTCATGAACACGGGGAACAAGCAAGCTATTACAAACAAAGCTGTAACAACTAGCAAATCATTTTCTTTGCAAGAGAAATAAATATAGAAAGAACACCATGAGCGAGAGACAAGATGAAACCTCTCTCAATCGGTACTTGGTAAACCTTGAGAATCACATAAAAGATAAAGGACTAACTGCAGCATGTATTTATAATCCACCCTACTAGAGGACATGAATAACTAAACTAAATTATCCTAAATAGAGCAGAATAACTCAACTAAATCATCCTAAATAAAGCAACATAACGACAAAACAAAATTATCGGTATCTTCATTAAAGCGGTATGCAATAATCCCAACCAATCATTAAAATTTATATTTATACCCATATCTAACATACATATCTACCTCTCAGTAAAGATCTAACTTCTACAATGAAACTAAATCAAAAGATGTTGCCAAATTAGTGTCAACACATCTGTGTTTTTTTATATTTATACCTATATCTAACATACATATCTACCTCACAGTAAAGATCTAACTTCTACAATGAAACTAAATCAAAAGATGTTGCCAAATTAGTGTCAAGTGTCAACACATCTGTGTTCTTTTCCCCTTAAAAATTTCCCACTGTATTCAGTACCTGTTTAAAATGCCCAACTATCAACTGCAAATATAACTAAGACTGATATGCCGGGAGTGGGTAAAGATTTTATTTCAAATGATTATAATCAAGAGACCAAAATGAGCAAGAATTTAAATGTGTCGGTGTGACCACACCACCTAAACAAGAAGTTGTTCAATTTCAATGAAAGGTTCAGTCAACAATTACCAAAAGAGAAAAAAAATAATTGAGCAATTAAAGTCATGATCTCAAGCCTATAAACCAAGGGGAAAAATACCTTCTAACAGTGCTTCACACACTTCTTCTATAGTCACATTAAGCGCTCTTAGCAAGATAGCAATGTTTTGTGACTTTTTAGGATCCAATACCCTATCCTCCTGATTTTGCGGGGCGAGAACTGATCGTGGAGTAGTATCCTTGGGCTTTGGGTTTGGTGTGTTCACTACAAACAAGGTCTCGATCATCTCCTCATTCAACCTACACCCAACTCAATTCAAAGCGCTTAATTCACGAACAATGATTGCAATAATGTACACATGAATTGAATCATCAAACCACTAAAACCATAATATCCTAAGCATAGTAATAAACCATCACATAAATTTAAAAAGCCAAAAGCTATAACAACAGAACAAGACAGTAACATAGTTGAAGATCTTACTTAAAAGAGCTTGACCTCAACTGATCCCACACCATTTCACGATCAGAGCTAGCCCTCACTTTGTCCCAGTGCAAAGGCTTCAACTTTGGTTTAGAACTCTCCTCAGAGTTCTCCTCAACCACCCGCAAAGAACTTGCAGGTGGCAACTCAACAGGAGAAACCTTGGCATCTGGGGTTTGCAACACAAAAGGCCTTGAAGGAGGTGTCAACACTGGCAGCCTCGAAACGGGTTGATCCACTGGTGTCGCGGGCGACGGCACTTCCCACTGTTTCCGCTGCCGTGGCACTGGCGGAGGTGGTGGTGGCGGCGGTGGAGGGGCTAAAACACTAGGAGATGGTGCAATGGGTGTTGGAAGAACCGGAATTTCCCACTGTTTTCTCTGTGACAACATCGGTGGAGCTGAAACAGTTGGGGATGATTCACCAATGGGTGTTAACAAATCCGGAATCTCCCAATGCTTCCGAGCAGGTGTTGGTTGGGTATTTAATTCTCTCTCCGGCGATGAAAGAGGAGAATGCCTATCCCGATCTGAAACATCTGAAATAGTCGGAGACTGATCCAACCCATGATGCAAGTTCATCGCTTTCTCCGGCGACGGCAGAGAAAACGCCGAAGACGAAGTCACAGACTTGCCACACGAAGAAGCGTTCGAAAGTCTCGGCGACCCATCATCATTTTCTTTCACAGATGATCGAAAAGATTGTGACTTTTCAAGTGCAACGCTTGAAAGTGTCAGTGACCCATCTGGGTTTTTCTTTGGTGACAGCGCGAGCGGTGACAGCGACGGTGACTGACACTCCCTTCTCTCCGGCGTCGAAGACATTGAAGAAGACTGAACGTGCTGGTTGAAAACCGGTGACGCAAGTCGCGGTGATGAGAATGTAGATGAGGAGAGTGTGCTTCTACTGTCGAGGGGTTGCGCCGGTGGAGGCGGCGGAGGAGAATGGTGGGTTACTGCATTTTCCGGCGACTTGGGTTGTGATCTTCTGGGGCTTATGCTCACCGGCGGCGAAAGAGAAATGGAATGAGAGCAATCCGGCGAAGCAGAAGAGGAAGATGAGTACGAAGAAGAGGTTGATTCACTACTGCTACGACCCACGAAGTTCTCTCCGGCAATGGTGGAGAACACTCGCCGGGAACACGATCCAGTTCCGATGGAGCCTTCCCGGCCGTTCAAAGACCCTCTCGGCGAGTAAAACTCTTCCTCCTCCTCCTCCGCCATCGCCGTCACCTCATCACGGAGCCTCGAAGCTTGTCGTGCCAGCGGCGGAAGCGGCTGAAGCTCCGGCGAGTCCATTTTCCGAGGATTCATGGCGGCTCCGGCGCGTGGGTCGGAGAGATCGTCGACGCCACTGCGGGAGTTAACAATGGTGCCAAGGTAGAGAAACTCAGAGCTCGTGGAAGATGTATTCCTGGTTTTTCGTCCACCGGCGCCGGCGGTGGCTTCACGAGGGAAGAGGCGGATACTACTGTCGGATCTGAGGGTCTTCTCGTCAGCAGAGTAGCTTTTGCGTCTCCGGCGGCAGTAAACGAAGGCGGAGACGGCGACGACTAGGAGGGCGCAGGAAACGGCGGCAATGGCGACGGCGAGAAGCTTGCCGGAGCTGGATTTGGATTTGGGGGTTTGAGGGAGGATAAGAGAGGAGATATTGGCGGGGAAAGAAGCAAAGGCTGAAGGAGAAGGAGGCGGTGGTGGTGATGGGTATGTGGGGAAGAAGGGTTTTGAAGAATCATTAGGGGGTGTTGTTGATGAAAATGGGTACTTCGGGTTTGGTGGTGATGGAGAAGGGGAAGGTGGTGGTGGATTTGGTGGCTGTGAGGGAGGGAGAGTACCCTGTTGGATAAAGGGTTGGTGGAGGATTCTTCTGTTGTTGGTGGTTGATCCTTTGGCTGTGGCAAAGAGGACGAACAGTGTGATGGTGAAGAAGAGGTTGCACATTGTGCTGTGCTGTGTGATATGTTTTCTCTCTCTTTCCAAATGTGGGTTGAGAGAGAGAGAGCGAGAGAGAGAGAGAGAACAGGTGAGTGAAGGAGAAGGAAGAAGAAGATTAAGGATTGTAGAGTGAGAGTGAGGAAGAGAGAGAAAGAGAGAGTGAGTATGTGAAAAGGTTGAATCAGGTCAGATAGACAAAAAGGGAGAAAGTAGATAGTAAAATTTAGGTTGTGGTGGATCCAGCTAAGATTCTGCTTTTTCTTGTGTTTTCATGTTTCCACTCCCTTATTCTCTTTCTGCACTCTTCATCTTTTAATTATTATATTTTTTTCTTCATCTCTTTTTTTATTAAATTCTATAAATTAATAAAACAATTAAAAAATTATTTTTTAAAATTATCATGACATTATAAATTATATATAATTAAATATTTTAAATTGTTGTAAAAGATATGTATGAAATAGTTCTTAATTTTTGAGATAATAAATATTTTAATTTTTAATAAAAAATTCTATTTTATATGCTTAAATTTAATAATAAATACTGAAGTTAATAAAAATTTTAATTTTATATTAATAAAAAATATTCAATTTCAAAATAAACTGTTGACACATTTTATTAGTTTTAACCTAAATTCAAAAGTCAAGTCAAAAATATAGTAACAAAGTAAATAATACTGATCAATAATAATAAGATAAGGGAGGGCAAGCCTTTTAGCCACAAGTGTTGCGCCAGCTGCATTAAACTATTTTTAAAAATTAAAGCTGAATTAAGCTAATTAAAGTTTGTTGAGTTGATTGAGTCAAAATAAATTTATTTCTAATTTTATACAGGGAATGAAATGTTCTCAATATATACTCTTTGTCAAAGACTTTTTTTTTTTTTTCAAAAGAGAATGTTAACAAGTGGTTTAGCAAACATGGATTAAAAGTTTAAATGAAAAAATATAAATGAAATATAGCTAATACATTCTTATAGTGATTTTTTAATGCAACCTCGCTATAATTTTAATATTTATTAATTAAAACATTATCAATATTTTAATTATTTTGTTCTTATTTTTAAATGTTTTATATCCTTGTTATAAATTATACAAATTTCATATTAAGACTAATAATAAGTTTAATATAAACAACATTATTAACTATATTCTTTAATCTTTATATTATCATCTTAAATGAACAAATGAAATTAACCACTAACCACAAAGAGAAAAGAAAAAAATGGGAAAAGGGAAACAAACTAATTAGCTAGTCTTTGAAGTTTGAAAATGCATTTACCGGTGTTTATTTATTCCAAAATGTAGAGAAAGATTTAGAAAATGGAAAATATAGAAGTTGAAAGGGGTTGAAGAGTGGAAATAGCAAAAGAATCGAGTTTTGATTTGAAGAGACAGAGAGAAGTGATTGGATAATAGAGGGTACAGGGGACCCTATATGCGGATGTCGGTCACCGAAATCCACGTCACTGCACTTGTTCCCATACATTACACCGTCTTCTATGCTTTTACCACCACCCTATACATCGTGCTCCTGCTACTATTCCTTTTCCATGTGTTGCACTTGTATTAATATCTATGCCTTTTATTACTAGTTCAATCTTTTTCTGTTACTTTTATTATTATTATTATTATAATATGTATAGAGTCTATAAATAATTATTTTAATTAAATGTTTGGATCTTTTGTATTTATTTTTTTAGTAAAAATCAAGCGAGGATTCTATTTTTTTTTATAATGTTGGAGTCGATCCTCATAAAAAGAAAAGATTGCCTTTGTAACTTTCCGATGGTTTGAATCTTTAACTCTTGTTCTCTTTATTTATCACCCCTTTTAGTTATGTTTTATGATATCTTTAAAGGGAAGAGAGTTTCCAATTTAAACTTATGTAAATTGATTTATGCAATCTCAGTTCATGAGCTCTGTGTTTATTTCTAATTGATTACTTGCCTGGATTTTTAATGCCCCTGGCTATGATTTAATCACTTGTGGAGCAAATTTAAAATTATTATATTGAAAAGTTTGTGAATAGTTCAAATTTTAAATAAAGGAACATGATTATTGATTTTTTAGGGGTAAGATTTGGATTGATTCATTTAAGGAATTAAAACCCAAATTAAGAATGATATTATGCACTATCACTTACTCGACGAGCCAAAGTAGTAATTGAAATTATAATTTTTAGAAGATGATAAATTAGTTGCTTTGTATTATTTATCGTGTTTCAGTGCATCTCTCAGATACATACAAATCAAATCCATACGTATGTTTAAAGTTAATACAAGTATGAATTTTTTTCATGGTCATTATTATTATTATTATTGAACAAGACAGCTATTTAGTTTGAAAATTATTTCACATGTTCTATACGAAAATATACATTGCACTAAAAAAAATGAAAATGAAGTCACACAGAACACTCAAAAGAAGAAGAAAAAAATGAAAGACAATTTATTTTTATACATTGACTTGAGATTGAAATGCGAATAGTCCAAATAAAAAAAGAAAAGAAAAACTTTATAACAATGAATTAACTCCCTGAACTTTATCAACGTTAAGCTAACGGTTAAAATTACCGTTTTAGTTCACAGTGTCTATCTTTTAAAAAAGAAATAATACCCTTTTTGGAGCATAAAAAAGAAAGAAAAAGTACGGTGATATGAACGCATGTGCCTGAAATAATACCCTTTTTTTTTATTTTTTTTTAAATATTACGTACACTACTTCTTCTCTAAGTGTATGGTCAACAATTCTTCAGCATAAGAATTTCATCTTTTTGTATTTTTCTTAGGGTACAAAATATTTTCATCTCAAAACCCAAAAATAACACACGTGAAGACAATGCTATGTTGAACGAGATTTTCAAAGGCTAGAGCCTCGGATTCAGATTTTTTTGCAGAGTGAGGTACAACTGTACAAGTTAGGCATACGCGCTATTGTATCACATGAGAAACAAGTTATAAAAATAGTAACGATAAAATAAAAATTTTGTAAATATTTTTTAATATCTTAATATAATTTTAAAAAAATTAATATCTTGGAATGCTGTAACAGTATTTAAAATAAATATAAATTCAAATGTGTCTTAACATAAAACTAAACATGTTATTACTATGAAAATTTAACTTAAAATTTGCTATGTTACTTTTAACTTCACCATATTAGTTAAGCTATTGCTCTCATAAAAGATTATAAAACAAAAAATATTATTGGTTACAGAAAGCTCAATTTATAAGATTATGAAATGGGGTCCATAAATTTAACCAAAAATCCAAACCAAAAGCATACACACACAAGACTCTCACAGCTTAAGTCGCCAGACATATTCCAAAGTTCAAAAGTTGTGAAACACATTTCCATTCCATATCATCCCCAAATTCAGCTTCGTTGCCACTTTAATTGAATGGGCTATGTGCTGAACACGAATGGGAAAAGTATTTTTTAAAATATATTTTTATTTATTACTTAAAATTTATTAGAAGTTGTAAAGATACAAATATAATTTATTAAATTATAAATATTTTTTAATAAATTTGAATTAATGTTAAAAAAATATGCATAACATAATCAAAATGTGTGTCACTGATATTTTTTGTTTTAAGTTGGAAGATGCATATTGGCTTGAAGGGTGATATTTACGATAAAGACAAGCATACATTTAAAAGAATTTATGGGACTTATAAAAATAGCGTATCATTTTTACAATTTTTGTAATTTATTTTAATAAAATTTTAATATAAATTGTTACAATATTTCAAAAGAATACATCTTAATAATTTTTATAATTAAATTTATCACTCAAATTTATCTTCCATACAACAAACAAAATGTATTTTAATTTAGTATACTTTGATCCGACTTTTTCGTTTGAAAAAGTAGCTTCTCAATTATAAAAATTGTGATAAAAATGTGACTTTGAATTAAAACGGAACATATTATCTATGAAAATTGAATTGTTATTTACCTTTTATTCTTTGCGACACAAGGTTTCCACATGTATGAAAAAATGTTAGTAATATATTATTTTAATATATTTGTTGTGATTGATTTAAATTTAAAAAATGTAAATCATTTTAAAAAATCAAGATATAAATATATATATTTAATTTTTAAAAAATAAATCAATTAAAAATATTTTAAAAAGTGTATTACTAGAGGGTCATATTCCACCATAAGAGGCAAAGACAGGTAGTGTTCACTGTTTTGTTTGGTGAGGGAGGGTCACAAGTACTATCAGGTGACCTACACAGATGCAAAATCAATTATGAATGTCAAAATGATTAAAATATAATATTGTAAGCTCTCTCTTTAGTTTACAATACATTATCTGAGTTTATAAATATATATGTAGCAACCTTATATAAACTCACGTAATTAATATAGTGTTTGGAGTTTCCCTATGATTATAATGGTATGAACTATAATGGAAATATGATTATATAAAGAAGCAAAGGTAAAAAAATAGTAGAACGAGTATCGACGAAGGAAAATGATAACATCCATTATTGAGAAATTGTGGAAAATATAGGCTAATTATTGAAAATGATTACAAGAACAACGGTCTTCTCTTGTCATTATGATGCCATATTGAAAGTTACTAAGCTGTAATCTAAGATTTCATTGTGGCGGTTGGAACATCATATCTTTGTTACGTGAAATCATTACTACTAAATTAATTATAGATTTTAGAAAACTTGCTTTTGCAGGCATGCTCTTCTGTGCCCTAATGATTTTATCGTTTTATTTATTGCTGACGTTTTAACGTACACTTCATGCACTTTAATATTATTTACGTTGATTTTATGATTATTTTTTTAATTTAAATAATTGCTTTTTCCTTGCTCATTTTAATTTATAAGTTCTTATTCTATATTTGCAAAAATTATTGTATGAACGCTATTAAAAGTTTCTTTTTCACATGGGGAGAAGATCAACTAGCTAGGCCTCGTTATGCAAAAAGAAAAAGGAAAAAAAAAAAAACACCTGTTTTCAATAAATGTTGTGCTGATTTTGTCATTCTTTGAATAGTAAGAGTTGGAGTACATGGCATGCTTCCTATAATGGAGACAATTCTCCGTTAAAAAACATTAATATATTGCAAGGTTGATGAAGGATCAATATATTTTGTTTTGTAATTTAATTTAGATATATGTTGCTTCTGGT